TTCTAAACTATTATGTCAAAATTTCTGCGACAGAACTTCCAAATAAGAAAAATAAAATTAAGTCAAATTAAATAAAAATAAAATAAAACTGCCAAATAAGGTCTGGACTTAACAACTACAATTTCTTCATCTTTATTCGCCTCTGGTTCTGGGTCAGACTCTGGCTCCAACATGTAAGGCTGGATGAACAAGTCTTCTGTTATTGACATCTTTTAATTAAATTGTAAATAAAACATTCCTGCAAGCTAGAAAACGTAATCCCCTCTCTCAAACCATAGTGGACCGGTCTGGAAGCAGGATAGGGGCGGTGCTTGAAGCGTCTTTAAAGGAACAGTATTATTTAAAACCAACTACTTTGAGACACACAGCAGACAGGTGGTGAAAGAGGTGCTGGTAAAGTTAAAATAAGGAGGAATTMAGAAAAWAATCATTGCAGCTCCACTTTACAAACCCTAACTGAATGAATTAAATGTGAAAAAGGATTTGAAAGCATTTGCCTACTTTAACTGATGAGGAACAGTTTAAATAGCCCATCAGATTCAAGGTTCATCATAATGTCAGATTTTATTAAACATAATTATTAGATGACTCTATGCCCCTGTGTGGTTTCCACTAAATCACATTAATGAAACAAACATAAATTTAAAAAAATGTGTCTGATACTTAAAATTTGTAATTTATGTTTGCACACACATGAAATTAGACTATACTCTACATTATTTGTGTCAAACTCYGGTCAGACCCAAACAATTTTTTCATTTAATCAGGCCAAACCGAAGCTGTGAGAAACTCCCACTTTTTTAAAACTCCATTTCTCAAACTGAGAAATAAGATTGTCATATAGCTGACAAATTTGTTTTCTTCTGTGTAAGAAACAAACGGGGCTGAAGTATGTTTTTGCACCCTTAATTGCATCAAAAAGTGGCAGAAAATAAAGTATCTTGAAAAAGTTATTCTAATTAGAGGTTATTAATGAGGAAAATAGTAATCTGTCTTTAACAAAGTTACTGATAGAGTGGTATGTTTTTAATGGTTCGTTGGCTATAAAACTTTCTGGAGGAGATGGTAATTCAGCAAGAACCCAAGCCTTTAAAATCATGACTTGACACGGATGGAGATTTTTCTGCTATAATTTTGTCCTGTATTACATA